GCGGTGCACGCAGAGCCAAATCTTTGCAAACCGACGTTTAGTCCCTGTCTTCAACGCACTCAGAGGGACAGCTGTGGTCTCAGCTTCTCCCCAGTCGTTTTGTCCGGAAGAAGCACCTACCACGAGTTTAATTATGCAATTAAAGTCATTTTCCTGGGCTGAACAAATATTTACAGCATATTTTGCTGCAAATTGCTTCGCCTGGAGAAAGGTTCTGCCGAGCGGGCTGACGAGCCCGGCATGCGTTCACACATTTACATGCCCCGTTACCAGGGGGCCGCACGGCACAGAGCAGGTGGCGGACAAGCAAGCCCCCAGGAACGAGCGTCCGTGCAGACACGGTGACAGGTGTCAGCAAAGCAAATGTGTTCTTGGCCCCGCCACGGTGCTACTGTGCGGACCGGTGACGTCCGTTGGTGATCTGAGGCAGCCCCAAATCCCGGCTCTGTGGCACCAGAGAAACCTCGGGGTTCGGTCCCACTGCTGGGGGGGGGGCACGGATGGTGGAGAGAACACTGTGCGGGGACCAGCCCTCTAAGAATCAGAGCCACGTCCATAGTGCACCCGTCACGTCCTGTCATCCACAGAGCCGTCCTGGGAGGTGGTCCCTGAAAGAACCCGTGTGTGGCACCTCTCTCAAGGGGCCCCCTGTGCTCAGCTTGCTGTCCGAGTCCAGGCGGGAAAACACGAGGCGAAACTTGAGAAAAAGCAGGAAAAAGTCACGTTCTTTATTTCACTCCCTCTGGACTTCGTCTCCATCTCAAGTTCCCTTTTCACCCCGAGGAGGAAGCTTTCTGGTAGTTCACTGGGATGGGGTCAGCTGACTCAGGGTTTTCTCAGCTCGAGGGGATCCTCTGCCCCTGCCCAGCTCCAGGCCAGCAGCAGAGCTCTGGGGGAGAGTTTGTGTAGCATTAGGGCGTCAGCACTGGGGGAGGACGGGTCCCACCGGCGGGAGCAATGACCAGAGAGAAATCCAGACCCAGGTCTGGGAGCCCCTCGGCGGGGTGGGAAGGTCTGGGGGTCGCACCATCCCAGGATGGGTGAGCCGGAGGTAGTCAAGGGGCCGGGTGGGGTGATTTCAGCTTCTAGGCTCCAGCCCGGCTGTGTTGAAGGTCAGCCCTGAGGGCAGTGTAGGGCTAATCCTCTCTCCACCTTGGTCTGGGTGACTGCGTGTCCTTGACCTTGTGTGAGGGCTGCTTGGGTCACTGTGCGCTCCCCCATCCTGCCCCCCAGCTGTCCTGTGTTCCTCCCAGAGATAGCTCTCCCTGGAGCCAGCCCAGGGCTGGGCATCAGGAGCCAGCTGCCGTGGGGGGCAGTGAGCTCCCCGCCCACCTGTTGTGCCAACACAGCCTCACGGAAGGCCCGGGACAGAGCAAACGTGTCCCCGCTGGGTGCCAGATGCCTTGCTCACAGCATCCCGTCTGACCTTCCCAGCCCCCTGAGAAGTTACAGTTATTATGCCCATTTAACAGCTGGGGAAACTGAGGCTCAGAGTTTCGTGCAATCACTTGAGAGTATGCTGCTAGGAAGGGGTAGAGTGGGGCCTCACATCCAGACTCTCTGGACCCCCGAGTCCAGAGCTGGGATATTTTGTCTTATCCTCATCGGCCCCCAGAGGGGGTGTTATTGTCCCATGACACAGGTGAGGGTCACTTTGGGTGACACTGCTGGCCAGAGGCGGAGCTGGGACGGGTCCAAGGTCGTCAGTGTTTACTATCCCGGGGGGGGGGGGGGGAAGGCGGGAGGATGGGGGCGGCCGTGGCGGAGGCAGGCCCTTTCCCATGGATGAGGGAACCTGGTGCCCTATTTACTGCAACTGCTGACCGTGACGGCCAAGGTCTCTGATCCGGTGCCCTCTGCAGGGGAGCGGGTCAAGGGAGCCCTCTGGGGCCTGTGCCTGGTGGTCTTAAAGCTCTGGAAGGGACAGGCCGTGTGGCACCCCGGGGGCTCCAGGTTAGGGTGGGCCTGAGGAGAGAAAGCAAGAAGAACGAGACCTATAACCGCCGACCCCCAAATGTGCCCCTGCCTAGCACCCCAGCCCCCGCCCACCTGCCACGTGGTCCTCGGGTGCCTCCAGGGAGCTCAAAGGCAGGTCTGTTGTCCCACTCAGTGTTTGCTGTGTACCTACCGGGTTCTAGTCCTTAACCCAGACTCCAGCACAGCCCCCGAGACGCGTGCCAGTCGGGGGACAGCCCCTGTGGTAGATTCTGGTGGAAGACATCGGCCCCAGCGGTGGTCTGGGCTCCTGCATGCCGGGGGGGGGGGGCGCTGAACAGGAATCAGCACCTCGAAACCGACTTGGCCCGGTCTGCCTGTCTTTCCACCCCGCAGGGACTGGGGCACTGCAAGATGACATTGGCAAATAAGGTCACAGCATCCTGACCACGACAGCCAGAGCTCCCGGCATAGAAACCAGGACCTGGAGGTGGACGGAGCACTTGCTTGGCCGTTTGGGGAAAACAAGTCAAGGGCCAATGGCAACTGTTGAGTCCTTGTGGTCCCCTGAAAACCTCTATTCTCTTTTTTTTTTTTTTTTTCAACATTTATTTATTTTTGGGACACAGAGAGACAGAGCATGAACGGGGGAGGGGCAGAGAGAGAGGGAGACACAGAATCGGAAACAGGCTCCAGGCTCCGAGCCATCAGCCCAGAGCCCGACGCGGGGCTCGAACTCACGGACCGCGAGATCGTGACCTGGCTGAAGTCGGACGCTTAACCGACTGCGCCACCCAGGCGCCCCAAGAAAACCTCTATTCTCTTTAAGGCATTTCCTCTAGGCTGATCCCCAGGCTTCCAGGGCCTGGCAGGAACAGGTTCACATGCCAGTCCCTGGGGCACGTGGGTGATACCGTGCACGAGCGTAAAAACTTCCAGGAGGGCCAGCTTGGCCACAAAACCAGAGGCCTGCTGGGGGCCTAGGACAGGACCCTGGGGCCCAGGACACACATCTTCACAAAGACGCCCCCACTGTACCTGTCAGCCCCTCTCGGGGGTCCAGGGAACTGCCTCAGAGGCCACCAGGCGGGCAGGGAAACAGAAGCCGGGAACCTGGGTCCCAGCTTCCCCCCCCCCACCCCCAACCTGGGGGTGGACGCTCCCTTGCTTTGTCTCCCTCCGGCGTTCGGTGTCTGAGTCAGAGCACGCGTCAAGCAAGGGTTCTGTAGCGAAAAGAAAAAACAAGTTGGAAAGCCACCGATTTAAATTAATACAGCAGATGACACTTAATTCCATGAAGTGGTTTTTTTTTTCCCCATCAGTGGCTTTGGTATTGGAACATGACACTTTGTCGGGAGGGCCAGGCCAGCTCTCAGCTCTTTAAAGGGAAAGACAACTCTGGTTGCGATCTCCCAGCTCCGACGGACGCTCAGAGGGGTGAAGTCACTCTAACCAGCTGCGCCCTGGGAGGCGGACTGCAGGTGCAGGGTGCTGTGTTTGCCTGCACAACGCACGTGTGCTGTGCAGGTGCAAATCCAGTCTGCCTCGTTCCTGACCCCCCAGTAAATGCCGCCAACCCCGAGTCTGGGGCGGGGGAGGGGGAGAGGGGGCAGGGAGGGGCTTAAGGCCAAACCACACCACCCGCTCTCCTCAGGGTGGCCCGCTGTGGGCACGCTGCTCGGTATACAGAAGGTGCCCAATTAATGCTTGTGCCACAGAGCTCCCCTCGGCTTTCTCTCTACTCTCCTCCCTCGTGGATGACGGTTGAGAAAAGTGTTGGTCGACAAGAGTGTCGCGACAAAAGTGCGTGAAATTGGCCTCAATGTAACGGGGAAGGCTGAACCCCCAGACCCAAAGTTTTGCCAGGAAGCACGTTTTAAACTCTCCCACTCAGTTACACAAGGCCTACCATTCACTTCAAGGTTTGCAGTGTTGAAACCCACTGGTCAGTGGCTTCTAGATACTATCTGGGGGTTAATTCAGAAAGCCCCAAGTGTGATACTATGCCACCTGTGGGTGACATCTTCTTTGCTCATCTCTCCTAACTGGTTCCTTTCTGTGCCCTCCCTCCCCCCACCCCCAGCTCCCTCCCTCCCCAGGGATGACCCTGATGTCCCCACCTCCTTTGGAGGGGATTCGGACCCCAACGTGTTTCATCAGAGAGTCCTTGCTTCTTGCTCGTTCAGATCAGAAACACCAAGTGAATGAATCCATGTTTTCTATAAAAGTTTATTTTGTGATTTTCCCAAGAAGTGTTAGGGGAAAACATTGAAATCGCGTGAAGGTACGTAACCAGGGGTATATAAAAATAATTTAAACGTGCATATTAATAATAAAGCAGCGTTTCTTTCTAGCCACAACTAGTAGGTAATCTTGCCCGCGATTTTTCCAAAGGTATTATATACATCTCAGATAACAAGAAATACACACACACACACACACACACACACACAGTTCAAGTAGTCTTCTCCGTGCATTCCAGGTAACTGACATAGCTAAAGAGATAAAAACAGGAAAGACTGAATGCCTGGTGTCCTTAGGGTTGAACCAACGTGCGCTGGATAGTGAATTTTGGAGACCTGCTGAGATTTCCCTTCCCGATCCCATAGTTACCAGCCCGTACTTTGTGGTCTTATCTGAAAAATCACAGTGTGTCTTTTGAATCGGCCCATCGGTGTGGTCATGGCAGTGGTATGGGTGGTGTCCATTGAGAAAATCCCACTTTCTCTTGCTCCCGGTTGCATTGGAAAGGGGGGCTGATCTTAAAAGGAAAGGTCTCGGGTCTGATTACATCTGGCTGATCCTTTGCTTCAGGGCAAGGACCTCTCTCTCGATCTCGTAGGGCAGGTCGGTGTCAACTTGCTCCTCCAAGTACTTCTGGATGTCCTCCACCTCCTTCTCCCAGAACCCCTTGGGGATGTCGAAGAGCTCCTTCACGTTGACGTCCCCCAGGCCTTTCAGGTTCAGGGCGCCCTCCTCAGGGATGTAGCCTATGGGTGTGAGCTTGGCACCCGCTTCCCCGTTGATACGGTTGAACATCCATTCCAGCACCCTGGAGTTCTCCCCGAAGCCTGGCCAGAGAAATTTGCCTTCGTCGTCTTTCCGGAACCAGTTGACATGGAAGATCTTGGGCAGCTTGGCTGCTGGGCGCTGGGCCATGCTGAGCCAGTGGGCCAGGTATTTGCCAAAGTTGTAGCCAAAGAAAGGCCGCATGGCAAAGGGGTCGTGCATGATGACCTTGCCTATGAACAGAGAGGGGGATCCCGCTGGTAAATCATGCTCTTATGGGACAATACTGGCGCCATTTATCGTTGGCACGAGCACGCGGAGACAGGGAGCACACCAGTCCCTCCGGTCTGCGGTTTGAGTCGTTCACTCAGATTTACCTTTGTGTTCCGCAGCTGCTGTGGCCTCTGATCGCATCGCCGCCCCCACAAACACTCCATGCTGCCAGGTGAGAGCTTCGTAGACCAGAGGGACCCCTGTAGCAGGAGAAAAGGAACACCCCGTAAAGGCTTTGACACAGACCCCTGGGCTGGCGATGGCATCTCCCGAAATGGAAAGACACAGAGGAACTGTATCTTTGTATTTGAGCTGCTTGTGTCCTCCCAAAGCCAACGCGCACAAAACCGCTGTCCAAGTTACACCACCGAGGCCACGCAGCTGGAAGTTTAATTAGATAGAGCCACAGCCCGTCAAGGATCCAGCCTTGCCAATTATCCCGGATTTTTGGAAGCTGGAGATCTCTGGTGCCCTCTGGCGAGGTCAGGAAAAAGGAGAGATTCTATGGACACTTTCTGGAAGCCAACACACCCATGCTCCCAGCCTGAACGAAGGAGAGACTCACCGGCAGGTCGGCGGCCTCCGAAGATGATGCCCTCGATGGGCACCCCCTCCGGAGACTCCCAGGCAGGGTCGATGATGGGACACTGGCTGGCAGGGGTGCAGAAGCGTGAGTTGGGATGGGCGCAAGGTTCCCCTGCAACAGCAACAGAGGAGGTGCCCCTTAGCATCTCGCCCAAACCAGTAGTGCTTAGAGGCTGGGGCCCTGGGGTCTCCAGGAGGGGGCTCACCGTCCTGGGGGGACCATTCGTTGTTCTTCCACGATGTGAGCCTGATGCCCGGGGCCAGCGGCTGGTCGATACCTTCCCAATAAAAGCCCCCATCGCTGGTCTCGCCCACGTTAGTGAAGATGGTGTTCCTCTGGATGGTCTTGATGGCGTTGGGGTTGGTCTTCACAGAGGTTCCAGGAGCCACCCCGAAAAAGCCATTTTCTGGGTTGATAGCCCTTAGGTTACCTGGAAAGTTGTCAACCAGAAAGGTAGACACGAATGCCAAACAAAACGTAACGGATATTCTTAGCTCTGACCAGGCTAATCTTCGCACCGAATTCTCAAATCTTTTTTTTTTTTTTCCTTCCTCCCTAGAAGAGATTCCTCTTTTCTCATCCGAGCATGATTTTCCGCTTTGACACTTTTACAACCCTTCCTTCCTCGTCGGTTTTCCACCAAGAGTGTTTTAACACATTTATTGTATAAACAAGCAGTAGCATATGGGGCCCCATTTCAATCCAGATCCTATATTAAGTTAAAGAATGCTCGCAGAAAACATATTCCTAGGGCTTTGCAAGATCCGAAAGAACGGACTCAAAAAGCCCAAGACCGTGGACTTGGGAGAACGTGGCACGCTTTGAAAGCCAAAAGTTCACCTAGGTGCAATCATCGTCAACGGTTAGGTCTAAGAGAGTCACCTTCTTGGTCAAATTTCATCCAGGCAATGTCATCTCCCACACACTCTATCTTCCACCCTGGGAGGCTGGGGTTCATCATGGCCAGGTTGGTCTTCCCACAGGCACTGGGAAAGGCTGCTGCGAAATACTTCTTCTGGCCCTTGGGGTTGGTGATGCCCAGGATCTGTTGGGGACAAGATTCCTCCTTAATCTGCTTCCTCCGGTCCCTCCCGGTGGCCAGTGGTTCAGTCTGGGAGAGTGCCCAGAAGCCCCAAAAGGGTAGGTTCCCAAGACTTATGTCTTCAGCCGTCAAAGCGAACATTTTAAATAAGAAAGTCTAAGGGAGCTCCGGTTTGAAGTGATTCAAAAGAGGCATTAACAATCCTCGGTGGGGTTTCTAAACCTGTCCTCGGGGCACACTGGCCTTGCCTGATGGGAACTGCACACGCGTGGGCATTTGGACCTCCGCACGCACCCCCGCCCCCAGGTCCCCGCCGTGCGGGTGCACGACTTCCTGCAACTTACCAACATGTGTTCTGCCAGCCACCCCTCTTCCTTAGCCAGCCGGCTGGCTATCCTGAGGGCGAAGCACTTCTTCCCGAGGAGCGAGTTCCCGCCGTACCCACTCCCGAAGGAGATGATTTCCCTGCGGTCGGGCAGGTGGGCGATGAGGGTCATCTCTGGGTTGCAAGGCCAGTTGTTCACCAGGGGCTCTGCGCAGGAGGACACAGCCCGGGTGAGCGTGCTGCCTCCCCACCCGGGGGGGGGGGGTCCCCGGGGCAAAGGCCCAGGGCTCGAGGCGAGGCTGATTTGCCGTCGCAACTTCAGACCCGGAAAGGGTACACTTACTTTTTAAAGGCAGAGGGCATCCCACGGAATGGAGGCACTTGACGAAGTCCCCATCGCCCAGCGCTTCCAGGACCGGGGTGCCCATCCTCGTCATGATGCGCATGCTGGCCACCACGTAGGGGGAGTCTGTCAGCTCGATCCCGATCTTCGACAGAGGGGAGCCCAGCGGCCCCATGCTGAATGGGATGATGTACATGGTGCGACCTGGAGGGGCCGGTGGCGGGGGGGGGGAAGGGGTGAGAAATGAGCCCGGCATCACAGACGACAACACGGCGACATCGCCCTTCCTACCGGCACCCGCCCTCTGCTTCTGTTTGATTTCTCCCAGTCAAGCAACTGTCTCCCTCACCTTTCATGCACCCTGGGAATCGGGCATTGAATGCTTTCTCGAAGTCCTCCTCGGACATCCAGCGACCTAGTTGGCTAGGGCCGGTTTTGGGGATGGGCACAGTATCTCTTTGCTCTTGGGTAATGATGACCGTCTTGCTTTCAATTCTGGCCACATCCCTGGGGTCAGTGAGAGCCAGCCAGCTGCAAAAAATTTTGAAAAAATTGGTTAGGAACGGAGGGGGCAGTGTCGCCCTCCCCTGCTGCCTCTGCGCACAGGATTCCCTTCCGCCAGGCGTCAGAGGGGAACGGACCAGTCCCGTGCAGCACCGTGCCCTTCCCGCACCTCACAGGTGCCCAGCGCACGGACGGTGCCCCACCCGTGTGGACAACCGCACCAGCCGGGGCGCAGCCGAGGAGACGTTACTAGACTGAGCTTGTCTCTCAGGAGAGGGCGGGTCTGGCTGTCGTCCTCGTCAGGGATGGAGTTCGCAGGGAGTGTCCCTATGTTGCTATCTCACGGCCGACTTGAGCCGCTCTATGAATGTCACTAAACTGCGGTCTCTATGGCTCGGGCCATTTCACTAAGTTTTTCAAGAGTCGACGACGGCCCACCCCGGCCCCCGCTGGGTCTCGGGTCCGCCTCTGCTGGTGGGGACGGTGGGAACGGCGGGGCTGGGGGCCGGCTTACCAGTTGTGGTATTTCCGCAGCCTCTTGATCACCCCCTGGGCCTCCATCTGGTCCAGCAGCTTCCGGTTCTCGCCGTCGGAGCCGTCACAGATGTGGATATGGTCGGGCTGGCACAGCTTGGCGCTACTCTCCACGAATGCTCTCACCGCCTGGGGCAGGCTGTCTAGGGTGCCCTGGACGACCTTGGCCGAGAAATTGAGGCTGCTGGGGAGCTGAGGAGGCATTTCTGCAGGGCTGCGCTAAGGGCCACGGACGCTTCCCTGAAATAGAAAACACAGGCCCCTTGAACAACCTAACAGACGCCCCCAGGGAAACTCAACGCGTCTCTTTGGTGGCACCTCACCAGACAGTCGAAGCGCTGCAGAAAAAAGGAAACGAGTTTGCGTGGGCTCCGTAACCTTTAGACACGCAAACTAAAAAGCTCTACCTACCTTTCTCCTTCTCGGATGATCTCGACGGGAGATCCAAGGGTTTCCCACGAGGTGCTTCCGGCCGGTGGACAACCGTTCCCAATGGGAAGGCCGCGTTCGCTGTTTGGAGGCCGGACCTCCCGGCCTTAAATCCCATTGAGGAGGAGGGCCCCGCCCCTCGGCTACACCCGGGGAGGCTCGTCTCTGACGTCAGGGGCAGGACTTTGGATCGCGGCCCCAGTCCATCGTGCTTCTGGACGGGCTTACCACCACAACCCCCAAGGGAGATAATCATTGAACAGATAGCTGTTAATGAGTGCTGGGCGGCCTAGAGTCGCAGACCGGCCGCGACAAGTCCTTGCACAACTTGTGATTGACTAAACTTTGACCCAGTTCACTCTGCTGATGTAAAACAGTCCGTCCTTCCACTGACGGGCAGGTGGGATCCTGCAGGCCTGGCTGGAGCTCCTCCCGGACACCCGGGGCTCCAGGCAGCACATTCCGTGTACCGATGGCCTCTGGCTGGCCTCTGGGGGCCTCTGGCCCCCACGGTGAGGTGTCACCCCACAGTCAAGACCTATGGAAAGACAGCGCCCAAGTATAAGCGAACGCGTGGCTCATTGGGAAAAGTCAGACCTAACGGGGGGCAAATAACCTTCCAGAGAGTCTCCTGTAGGCCCCCCGCCCAAAATATAAACTTGTGAGGGCAGGGATTTCTGCCTCTTTTGTTAATTTTTGTAGGTACGAACTGACAAGGAGACCGAGGCCCAGAGAGGCCCACCGGCTGTTCCCAGCTCCTGGCTGTAGGGCGAGAGAGGGCAGATTGGAGCCTAAGGACGCGGGGCTCTGGAGTACCACCCCGTACCGCCCCTTGTGAGGTGCCGTTCCCTTTTCTGGAACTTTCCGCGTACTCTCCAAGCAGGTCCGGGCTGGATGCGGTTACTCGTGGAGATGACTACATGCTTCTCATTGCCCTTGCAATTCTGAGTGCCTGGGGAGTGAAGGGGGCTTGGTGGTTTCGCTAGATTACCCTTGAGCAATGAGACCTTTATAACAGCTGTAAAGAATGTGCTTTGCAAGCTGTAGGAGCTTCGGTCCAATTTAATGAACTCTGAAGTCGCTTGCTGGCATTTCGAGATCACTGGGTGAGAAGTCGGGAGCACGGAGCCAGGCCCCGACTCTCCACAGGGGACCCACCGGCATGGTCAGGGGGTGCCCTGTCTCTCAGATGAGGGTGGGTAGGGATTTACCTGCCTCCACCATGGGGGGTACAGAGATAATTCCGTGACTGTGTCTGTAAGGAACTGTAGAAATACAAGACCCTGAGATGGGCCGCCGGGGTGGCTCAGTCAGTTGGGAGTCCGACTTCGGCTCAGGTCACGATCTCATGGTTCGTGGGTTCGAGCCCCGCGTCGGGCTCTGTGCTGACAGCTCAGAGCCTGGATGGAGCCTGCTTCGGATTCTGTGTCTCCCCCTCCCTCTGCCCCTCTCCCGCTCGTGTTCTGTCTCTCCCTGTCTCTTAATAATAAATAAACGTTTAGGAAAAAAAGGTTTTCATTTATTTAAAATTATTTCCTGTTTAGGTCACTGGAATTCGTTCTTAGAGGTGCGGTCAGCCGTCTAAGTTTGTGTCATATCTAAATTCAAGCACGAGTAGTGCTCAGCGACCAAGGGACACTTTCTGAGCATGTGACACCGGTGAGATTAGCCATTCAAATGCACAACCATAAACACGCAACACGCACATTTATACCAGTGCGGTTCCTCTCACCAAATGGGTAGAGATTCCCATTTTGCTGATAAAACCTTAACAGGTTTGATTCCCTCAAAGAGCACGTAGCTTGAACACAAACTTGAGAAACCTGAACTTACCCGCATTTCTAAATGCTCCCCGTAAATTCAAGGTGTTTATGCTCCGAGTCTTCCTGGAGAGAAGTAGCTAGCTCAATTAAAATGTAGGAGCATTGGGGCGCCTGGGTGGCTCAGTCGGTTAAGCGTCCGACTTCAGCTCAGGTCACGATCTCGCGGTCCGTGAGTTCGAGCCCCGTGTCAGGCTCTGTGCTGACAGCTCAGAGCCTGGAGCCTGCTTCGGATTCTGTGTCTCCCTCTCTCTCTGACCCTTCCTCGTTCATGCTCTGTCTCTCTCTGTCTCAAAAATAAATATTAAAAAAAAAATTATTAAAAAAAAATGTAGGAGCAGCGGTCACTGCTGCCCTCCAGCCCGTTGTCGAATTACCCACATTTGCCTCAGGGAAGGCTGGCATTATCCCTTTGCAACCGTCCGTCATCAAGATGTGAAAAGGCAAACTGGGTTGCGGATTTCCCTGAAAGCATTGGGTTTGTTAGCAGACAGTGTTGCGGACAGAAGCTGGGGTGTTGAGGACACAGCAGAAGTGAGGACAAACTTCATTTACCCCTCTGTTGATGGGGCCCCGCCTTTGTCTCTCTCCCTGGAGGGTGCCTGCCCCGTAGGGGACTCATTAAGCAATAATCTCAAGGGGCTGGGCCAGAGACATCTGGATTTCCCCCCATTTCCCCGTAGGCTAAGTTGTAAGGAAGACCACAGGCTGGCCCACCCCCTGCAAGGAGTTTTCATGCTCCCGGTGTGGCTGGGGACGGTGGATGGCGCCCTCTGCTGGGCTCACGATGCGAATTGCATCTGTCATCTCTGGAGTAAACGCCATAGGGACCCCTGACTTTTCGGGGGTGGCTTGGCCCCCTGTGTCCTGAGATACAAGACTGCTCCTCTTTTTAACAACATATAAAACGTTGATCCCAGACAGAACTGGTTTTTGTTGCAAGAAGGAGAAGGAACCAGGAGGCACTGGGGAAAACGAAGCTTCAGACCCCAAAGTGACTTCTCCACTTCTCCTCGTGGGGTTCCACACCCACTAGGCGGTGGCGGTTAAGCGGCAGGCTGGGTCTGAGGGTCTGAGGAGGGAGGGCGCAGGCCTCCGGAATGCCCAAGCAGAGCAGAGCGGTGACGACGGCACGGAGACAGGGGCAGGGCTTGCCAGAACTCAAAAGGTGTGGGCAGGTGAGCGTGGGGGTGGGGAACGGCCGACTTCCGGGTCAACAGTGGGAAAGGAAGCCCTGAACTTGGGTAGGATCTCACAAAGGATGCTAGGAACAGTTTGAAGGAGACAGGCATGGGTGGTTTCTTGGTTACTTGAGGGCTGATTAAAAAAAAAAAAAACAAACCAAAAACCCAGAGAGTCCAAAGACCGTCCCCACCGGTGCTTGGATTTCCTGCGAGTTTAGATGGGTGATGTCCACACTGTGCTCTGAGGGACGTGGAAGGATTCCACTGAGCCTCCTCACAGCGGAGGGGAGGAGGACCCCGTGGGCCGCGCTCAGGCCCTCCTCACAGGCAGCTCTTCTGACCCCATCGGTGGCACCTACTGGGCGTCCAGATTGGATCTTTGTTTGAGCCAGAAACTCAGCCAGAGCACATTCAAAATCCACCAATCACAAGCAATTCTTTTCTTGGCGACGTAAAACAGGGGAGGCTCCGAGGCTGCAAACAGGACATCCTCCCAAGCTGAGGCTCTTAACGGCACGATCGATCGTGGCCTCCCCTCACCACCCCGCCCCCTGCCCCACTGATCGGGGTGACCGCAAAAATGCCCCTCGGTTCAGGAATCTGAACTCGGAGGACCCTTCCTCGGTCAAGATGAAACGGGACAACCGTTTTCCAGAAGGTGATGAGAAACTAGCGGTGTGAATCCCACACCTCGCCCTGGATCCAAAGGTATGCGTGCAAGTCAATTCGGGCCTCTGTGGCCTCCAAGGGCGCTGACTGGCCCAGCCATGGAGGTTTCCAAACAGCAGGAAAACATGTTCAGCTGTGCAACGATTTGCCACGCAATCATCTGCCAAGGCAAGCCCAGCGGTCCACCCCAGTTGTGTTTGTTCAGGACAAATATTTACCTATTTTACATTTATGGAGTAATCCTAATGCCTTCGCAGTCTGGAGGGTATTTTTGCAGAGCTGAATGAGTCTCTATTCTGGAGCCATAGGATCACGTAGTTGAAAAAGCCCTGAAAATATCATGTTAATCCCGCTTAACAGGGAGAGGGGGGTCTCCTTCGGGGAGGGGATTCAAGGTGTCGGAAACTAGACAGAGACTGCCTCCGAATTGTGCACTTGAAGATGGGTTGGGTTTTTTAATTTTTAATGTTTATTCATTTTAGAGAGAGACAGACAGAGTGAGTGAACAAGGGAGGGACGGAGAGAGAGGGAGACACCGAATCCGAAGCAGGCTCCAGGCCCCGAGCTGTCAGCGCAGAGCCCGACGCGGGGCTCGAACTCACGAACCGCGAGATCGTGACCTGAGCCAAAGTCGAACGCTTAATCGACCGGGCCACCCAGGCGCCCCGTAAGACGGGTTGGTCTTATGTGTATTTTCCCTCAGTTAAGAAGCAAAGACGATTCTGAGGTCCAGTCTTCTATTCTGAAGGTGTGCCAACAATGGCTGGGTGTAGGGAGCGGATGTACAGCAGAGGCTTCTCAGAAGCCCTCCCTAGGATGTGGGCAGGTGTCCAACACCCTCCACCCACCCACCACCCTGTGACCTAACCCTTTTCGCTTCTCTCCACAGCCTGGCAACGTCCAAAGACCGTAATCTTGGACTGAATGTGCACTCACCGAGCAGAGACAGCAAATTATACCCTCAGGGAATCTTCCCTCAGGAGGGCCACGGTTTTGTGGGCATATTCTTTCCACGGTGAAGAAATAAAAGTGAATCTAGGGGTAAACCACTTTGCTCGGTGCACGTTCACAAAGCCTGATCTTTGCCGCGAAGATGGGCATGTAAGGCTTGTTAAGTGAATGTTAATAACCAGGTGCTCGGACCTTCTTAGAGGGCTGGTCATCTCCCGTTTCAGTCATTAGTGGCCCGTGGGAATAGTGGCTCCATAAAACCTTGTGTATTTTCTTTCGAGATTTCTCTGTCAGGCTTATGGAGAGGCATACAAGGGGCGCTCGCCACCCAGAAATGATGCACGTGGGGGACTTCGACATCACAGGCCACGTCCGTCCCGGGAATGGCCTCGCCCTTCAGAGAGCAGTGTCACCTCCGCAGGATGCCGGCTGCTTATGCGGAGGCTGTGGCACGAGGAGATGGCAGGAGACTCACCGTCAACGTCGGGACAACGTCAGAGTCTAGAACCGCTCCCACTCCGTGCCCAGCGTTGCTCTACTCTGGGCAGCGTGAGACAGCGACACCACTTTGAGCCATTTGGATCGGGCGGCCTGTGGCTTGCGGCCAAATACGTCCTCAGGGAGACAAGGCTCACGTGCCCAGGCGACCCAGAACCCAGACTCAGGAGACCTGAGTTGATTCCAGTCCCAGCTCCCCCGGAAATTTAACCCGATGTCACTCTCTTCGCCTGCACAGTGTGGAGGTGGGTAAGATACATACCAAGGCCATTTCCATCCATAAAGTCCCGCTGGGGTATCTCTGTCCACATTCACTGGCACGGAGCCTGAGGTCCGTGGTGGCTTTGGTTTTGCCTTCTCTCCCTCTCTCCTCCTTTGGAAAACTGGCCACACCGTGCCGGCTGAGTCTCTCTTCTTGTTGGAAGCCGGGGCGGTCTTTGTTTCCATGAGGCATGGACGTCTCCACGTGGGAAGTCGAAGCCACAGGCCAGGTAGCATATGTGCACAACTACATTGGGTGGAAAGTGACAGCTCATCGGGATAAGACAAAACTAGGGTCTGCCCTGATCTTACAACCCCCGCCTTAGTTCTCTCCCTCAAGCTGTATGTTATAGACGGAGCAGACCCGGGTTGTGGCCCGAATCACTCGTGTCTCAACATTCCCTCGATTCCAAAGTTTTGTTTGTGTGCGACTTTTAGTGTGGATGGGGGGCTGGGGGCTGGCGGTGCGCAGGGCCCCGTGTGTGTGTGTGTGTGTGTGTGTGTGGACTCTCGTACATCCCCCAGGATGTCCCACGTAGGAGGTCATTCTAGACGACCGGAGAAACAGATGTCCCCAGGGCTAGCATGGAGTGTCCCTGGATGGGTCGCTTATCCTCTCCGATCTCGGCTTCCTCATCTCTACACTGACTCACGGGGGCCCTTGAGTTCAGGTGCCACAGAGTCAGCCAGCATATCCTCTGACTTTGCAACAGAGTGAGAGCAGATTTGCCGTGAAATGCCGTTGCAAACGCACTCGCAGAGAAAAGATGGCAGCACCCGGCAGAGCACGGGGCGAAAAGAACTAATTGCACGGTTACCGCAAAGACAACCCAACGCCCTTATTTTGCAGCAAGAAAATGGATCCACTCTGCGGCGCAGTTCACTCTATGGGAAACAATGATAATTGCTCTGGAACCGAACACCAGCCTCCCCTTGCGCTCACTGATAACGATGCAAATTCTCCCGCTTGCCTGTAATGTGGCTCAGAACAAAAATGCCTTTTCTGGTCCGTGCTGGGAATAATTCCTGAAACTCAGTAAGTCTTAACACGCCCCCAGCTCCTCTCGCCATGGGGGGGGGGGGGGGGAGATTTCATCCCACGGAGACTCAGTGACGACAGCCCCCCGGGGTGGGGGTCCAGCCAGCAGGTCTCATCGGGGGCTGGGGCTTCTAACTTAGCTGTGGAACCCTGAAATGTTTCCAAGTTGAATTATATCGAAATCGAGGCCCCTCAGGACTGTTGTTCTCCTAATCTGGTACAGAAGCAAAGGCCGCTTCCGGGGTAGAGGGGTCTCCTTTGGGGGTGAATCAACGTCCTCAAAACACGCAGAAAACCCCGTTTGTCTGAACAAGGACCACCGAGTCTGGTGAAAAAAGATGCCTGCCCACAAGCCCCCCTCCCCAAACTGGCCTTCGTTGCCTTGAAGAGATAACCAAGTAAGATAAGTGCTAAAGGGGAAAAGAAGTCTTGGTCTCGTGTTTCGGGTATTCAGAGACAAAGTGCAATTGTCAGAGGCATGAGAAACCGGCCGTGGGTGCGGGGAGTCACAAGCCAAACGGGGGTGGGGACACTTTATCTTGTCAGGAAGTCGGCATGTGAAGCAGGAGCAGGGCAAGCGGCGGACGGGGGTCCCTCTGGACCCTCATACGTAGCAGACCCCGGGATTCTTTCATTTCCAACCAGGTTGACTTCGGTCCTGCCATTCTGCAGAAAGCCGGCCAGATCAGGTCCAGTTTCTTTCCCTGGCTCGCACAAGGAAGCTGTGAGGTAAGAGTCCTCTCTCCGGGCCCTTCTGTGCCTCGTCCAGAGCTGGCACGGCCAGGACCGGCAGGGTCTAGGGCATGGGCACGTCTCCGGGGCTGGCCTCAGCTCCTGAGCCCCGTGGGCTCACTCTCCAGCTAGCAGGCCAACTGTTCCGGGCTGGGGAGCAGTGGGCAGGTCTGGGCTTCCAGAGACCGACTTCTCGAGAGGCGGGACAACCTCGCCGAGCGACTGATCCTATCTGGCTGTGAAGGTCATCAGAAACAGGGACTGGCTCCGTGCTTTGACCTGCAGGTTGGGCCCGTGGTGTCCTTTGGGGAGGCAGTAAGAACGTAGCCAACGGCACGCAGGAGGCAGAGACCTGCCTTCTCTCTTAACCATGTGGCCTTAGTCAACTTCTGATAGGGCAAAGATAGGATAAATTTGGCAGAGAGGGAAAGGTTAGGACCTGAGGTCCCCGGGTGGGGAAAAATACACATTTTGGAACAATGCTGGGAGTGTCTGACCACAGCAAGCCCCCTTAGGCCTTGCGGTTCCTCTTGAGAATGTAACAGGCACTACCCACCCCCCTCGGGTTTCCCTCAGGAATCTGACCATCAAAATACCTGACTAAAATAGGTGAACCATAAAACTCACGTTATAGGAGGGGCAGTATGACTACCGGCCGGTTTCTCACACAATGGAGCCGAGCCAATCAGGAGTGGATGACCCAGCACCGAGAGCGATCCAGCCAAGAAGGTTGGACCTGAGAAGGAACGAGGCGAAGGCAAGCGGGGGTGACCAGAACCCTAGAAAACAAAGACCCTTGCCTACAGTCGGGGGCGTTCACATTTGAACGCCCCCTCTCTGCAAAGAGAGAGCTTTCCCGCTATTCCTACTTTCGTATATTCTGATTAACCTCTGCCTGCTGCTCATTTAATTCTGTCCTCTTCTTCACTCTTCAACACGGAGAGACAACGAACCCAGGGTATCGAGGTAAAAAAAAAAAAAAATCCTTCAACACACTCCTACCCTCTCTTCGCTCCCTCAGTTTCCTTTTCTGTTCGTTGAGGATAATCCCAGTACTTGCTTCATGGGGTAGTTCCAAGGATCGGGTCTGGTAAGTCGACAGCAGGATCGGCGCAGTTGAGCAAAACGCTCCTAAGTGGCTGGAAAGAACAAAGCACCGATGCCACGGGCGCGAATTCTTTTATTCGTGGGACAGGGGAACCCTCTGGGGTGCTGGGCGTGGCGGGGAGGGGACAAACAGGCCAAGGCCAAGTCCCCAACTTCTGGGAGTCCGTGTTCTCCCTTCTTTCAACAACCTCCACACCGCAAACCCCGCCTGGCACATAGTAGGTGCACAGCAAACGCCCACTCGGTAAGCCCAGCTGGGGAGCCCAGTTCGACACGCAGATGACTAAGCACCAAGTGCTCTGTGCAGGCGGTAAATACACCCAATAAATGTACCCACTCGCTAATAAATCCCTGCCCACAGAGTAATGGTGCTATCACCTCGGGTTTCTATTTAACTTCTTCCATCTGCTTTCCTGTCTCCCCTTCTTGCTCATTTCCTTGAGTCAGATTTATGTTATTACACGTGCAGAATAACCTGCTCACTTCTCGCTGCTCACGCTGCCGTTCCCCCGCTCATCAGCTCCCCAGAGCACGTAGCGCTCGGACTTATTCGAAGCCGCCCGAGCAGACATTTTTCTGAGCTGTGTTGTTTACTTTTCTGGAAGTCCCACGGTGTGCTCTCATAATGGCGAGCATCAAGAGCCGCGAGACGGACGCGCATTCGATGAAACAGGTGCACTAAACAGCCCGAGCCTTTTTCCAGGTCCTGAGTTACGGCCGAACTGGCTCCCATCAGCAGGACGTGGGAGCTCCTGGGGCATGGTGGCACAACTTCTGGTGGGGGACGGGTCTCGACAGCCTTGACGAATGGCTGGAATCATCTTCCACCTGCCCGACTCATTCCAACCACAAGCTGCCGAAAATACCCTCTCTCCGCTTGCCCTTTGCTGAGTGCTGAGGCACGAACCAAAGTCCGTTCCCGAGCTGGGCACCTAATTTTTGTTAATAATATCTTCACTCTATCAATCATTGTTAACTAACGGGAACATTTGAAGAAATTAATTTGAGCCCAGCGAGAGGAACCATCGCAGCTCATTATAAGTCTCCTCCCCAATGAACTCAGCAGCACTGACTGCATCACAAAGACGCACGGTGACTCAGGCTCGCCCAACTTGACTTCCTCCCACAGAGGACACTTTCTCCTTCAGAGAGCCGCTTCCTATTCCGGGGCTGTGCTAAAGGCTTCTTAATTAAGGTTTAATGAGGATTTCTCGATCGTCCACCTCATTCTCCAGAAGCCACTGAGGTGGCCACAGACCCCTGATGATGTGGGTGCCGGTGGGGGGGGGAGGGGCGTCTAAAATTCACCTGACACCGAGGTCGGCCTTTCGCAAGGTGGCCCCTACATTTCTGCCCAAGGGTAGGGAGCAAAGAAACAGGCAGATGCTGTAGAAGGAAAGGCCATGGAGCCCCTCGTGCCCCCGGTACCCTGCCCGTAGGCCCGTTACCCCAAGCCAACCTGAACATTGCCAGCTGAAAAGCCCGCCGTTAGTCTCCCCAGGCCTGTAGCATCTTGGGAACGAGATGGCTGGCCGTGGGGCAGCCCCTGCGGAAGATCACGTTAACTTCCGCTCAGCAAACCACAACCTCGGGATACAAGTTCAAAGAGCTGTAGAAGCATTCTGAGCATTGAGCATTTTTCGACAAAAATCGTAAGGAGCCACGAGCAAGCAAGATTGGGTTTGTAGTGAACTGTCCTGTGGTGGTCCGTGAAAGACTCGGGTGCTTTGGGTCAAAACCTGTTTTTAAAATACATGCGTCTGATGATTTTTTTTTTAAGTTTATTTTATTTATTTTGAGAGAGAGCATGCGCATGTGTGCAAGGGAGCACGGGAGGGGCAGAGAGAGATCGGAGAGAGAGCATCCCAAGCAGGCTCCACACTGTCAGCGCAGAGCTCGACGCGGGGCTCGAACCCACGAACCGCGAGATCATGACCTGAGCCGAAAACAAGAGGCGGACGCTTAACCGACAGAGCCACCCAGGCGCCCCGTAAAATGTGTGTGTTTGATGATTCATCTCAAATACGTCTCTGTTTAGACACGGCTGCGTACGTTTTGAATGTGTGAAGCCTGTTCCAGCAGCCTTAATGCTTTGTTTTTTCCTTTCAGGTGAAAATCCCAGGCGCCCTTTGTGTTAAAACGAGTTTTCGCAGCTTCCACTTGTAGAGAGAGCCAGATTACATAATTGCATTCAGGAGGCCACCACTAGAAAGTAGCTCATGTGCGCGATCAACGCTAAATTCTTTGGGGAGGGGGGTAAAGAAATACACCTTCTTGGACTTTCTTTGTTGTACTCTTCACAATCGAGCGCAATGGCCATCAGGGGTCTTCTTCTGAGCTGTCACATTGCTTAAATGAGTGCATGTCGGACGTTTCCAGAGGGGCGAGCTCGGTAGGCACCGAAAAGGGAAGGGTCTCCTCGAGGCTTTGGGTTTTTCGGAATGAAGGCATAGAGCACTTTAACTTCGGAGCAAGTTGCCCTCATTCAACACAGAGTTCAAAGACGCTCAGACACTTGGAGGGAGAGGAGGGGAGAAGTTCTAGGCTTTGCTCCTCACAGGCGAACACCCCACGGTGACATTTGAAAGGCACTGTGGAGGTAATGACTGCTCCAAATATACTTAGAAATGCTTCGCTCTTCATTGTTCTTTATGTGTCTCATTATTGTCATGTCAAAAAAAAAAGTTGCAAGTGACACATGTTGTTCCTCTGAAAAAGAAAGTCCAAGTCCGCAGGTGAAACCTAAGCGTATATGCGGGAAGTGGAGGCCCGAACGTCACCTCCGTGAGCACAGAGACCGCGTCGCCTCTGGCTGCAGGCGTTGTAACAGAAAGGCATTTCATTTACTGCGTGTTCGCCCATCACTGCTCCATTCCACCTTCTGGGTGCCTGGGATGCTTATCGGTACAGATCTGAGCACAATCCCCAAGGGGCGAGCAGAAGAATCCTGAACATTCCAGTCCATTGTTTCAGTAACACGGCCCGGCCCGTCTGCTAACTCCACTGTCCGTATCAGATTGCGGTTCGGTCCTCGGGAGCTGCAAGGGCCATCGCCGCCAAGTCAGCTTCCCTTCTGGGGCTTCAACTTGAGCCACTTTTGTTCTGACCTCAGGACCTTTGCTCCTGCTCTGGCTTCTGCCGCGAGGAGCACTGCCCCCTGGCGTGCGTAGCCGGGCCTTTTTGCCATTCAGGGGTCAGCACCTCATGGCACCCACCAACACCCGGTCCCTTACTGTGTTTCCTTCCTGCCACTTATTACGTACGTGACATTTGTGTCTTCATTTGTCTACCTGTTCCATTTCAGAATCCCTGACTCAAACATCAGGCACGCAAACTTGTTCTGAGCTCATCTCTCCGAAAACACGGTACCGGGCCATGAGTCACCTTAGACGTGAAACCAAAAGCTCACTTTATGTTAGTGATTCATTTGTGTTTTTGAAATTAAACAATAATTTCCTTTATGCTCTGTTCGCTTATATAACCGTGCCGGTAAAAACTCCTATGAGTCAGGAAGGAGAGAGGTGGGGGACGGCCCCCGCTTAAGTTCATCTTTTGTCATAAGACGATCAGTCACCGCTCGCCAGATGTCAGCTGAGCACCTCAAACACGCGCTGTTTTAATGGGACCTTCTTCTGGTCGTTATTAATTAATTTACTCATTTATTCACTAAAACTTTCAGAGTAATTTACCATCTGAAAAGAAAGATGACCATCTGAAAAGAAATAGGGGTGTGTGGCAGAAAGTCCGCAGTAAAAGGCCTGAATGAGCCACTTTAGAAAATACTTAAAAATGTTTCAATAGTGAAGGTATAAAAATTAAGGGGAGACGAAAAGCAAAGTTTTGGTGGTAAATTAGAATATGATAATACATATGAAATGCAGGGACTTTTATCATTTGCAGTAAAATGGTTATTACAATAGCACGGTATTATAAAAACAAGAGGGCGAGTACAAAATCAGAGGAAATCTATCTTACCTTGTTGGCATTAAGATAGAATAAAATTACACTCAGAAAACAAATTACGCCTTCTATTATTCTCGTGAAACCTGTGCTTGGCCTGGGCAGTCCGCTAGAAACTTCCTTCTTTCTGCTGTGTGTCTCCTTTAGTGAGGACCTGTCACCGACCTGCTCAGAGGTCTTGCCTCGGGGTAGACAGACAGACATGGGACGGGGTCTGAACTGGGTCCTGCCCCGGGAAGCTCACAGGCCCCCCCCCCCCGGGGGGGGGGGTTGGAAGCTGGCAATAATTTCGAAGTCGGTATTCCTCTGTTCGTTTGGTCATGACCTTTGAGAACTGCAGAGAACCTTCTAGAAGGAGTCTGAGTCTCTCCTCAACCTGCAGAGGTCACTGCGGCCGCGGATGGCGCGCGACTCGGCGTGGGTTTGAGGGCACGCAGAGGAGCCCCCGTCTCTCCAGACCCTACTCTTGCCGGGACACCATGACTGAACCACTCTGTGCACCTGAAACTCGCCTGAACCACAGGTCTTGGCCAGATCCCCCAGGGTTGGCTGGGCGCACTGGTGGCGTTGGAGGGTGGCGGGGTCCTTTGCGCAATTTGTCCCAAGAGTTGAGAGCGACCCACCCGTTTCTTTTCTGGTGACATGCCAAGCGACACGGATGCCGTCCAAGTCTCGGCGGTCCATGAAAACCCCTCCCTGTGCCTGGAAACTCCGCTCCGGCCCTCGTGAGGAAAGGCACATGTAACCACGTGGGCGGTGGCTTCAGAAGGGGGCCCAGGGAGGTTGGAAGCACAGAGCCCTTGCTGTGTGGTCCAGCAAGCTGCCTCAGCGTCCTCATCTGAAACTCGGGGAGAGGGGCGGCAGGTACTGCGTGGGGCCGTGGTGAGAGATCACCCACGGGAGCCTAGTGCTGGATGTGCAATCATGGCCGACAATCATGGCCGCGGCCTTGATCTCTCTCGGCTATTCTCTCTCCCGGTGGAGAACCAAGGAGATCCAGCGCAACCTCAGACGTCACGCTGGCCCTGAGCTTCACTGACACCTGCGAGCTGTGACACTGTCCCCCGGCCGCGTCGGAGAGCGCAACCCACAGGACCCCCCCC